TGTATCTAGCTGCCTTTCCACAATGCCACTGGCTGGCCCACTCCTGGATAAATTTAAAGAATCTAGGGGCCAGCAGGTGGTGTAGTAGCTAATGTTTTGGATTCCCATTTGACTGAAGGAAGAAGCAACCATTCTTGAAGTTCAAGACCTGGCAATTTGAAAATAATACTGGGTGCATGTGCCTTTGTGCCCAAAATTCCATGAGGAGAATGGAGAAGGGATATGCTGTGGCCATTGCTCCTATGGGGTGATTTCTCACTCCTCTTCCTTCTTTCTGTCATTTTCCAGCAAGCACACTCACCCTGTGGCAAAAATCTACCAAAAAAAAATTTTATACAAATTCAAATTCAGAATCCAGTGACAGTGATTTAACCGCCGCCGGGAGGGGGGCGGGGCCGGGCTGCGCGGGAGAGCGGGGGCGGGAGGCGCCGGAGCCCCATCGCCCTTTCTGGTTGTCACTTGCCCTGGGGTGGTGACCCATCCCCCTGGTTTTGAAGATTCACGCTCGCTTCGGTTGCCCCGTTTCTCCATTGCTGAGTCGCAAGTTAGGCCTGGAGGTGCTGTTCCCCCATCAGTGGGTGCTTTTCGTGATGGGTGCAGAAGCCTCCCTCACCCAATCACCGCTGAGATGCTGTCTCTCCCTAAGGTTGCTGTCTTCGTCGTCCCTCCGGCCCTTCTTCCTTCTCAGCATGTCACTTTTGATCTATTTTCTCCTGGATCTCTGGCACCCTCGCTTCCTCCCTGACGTTTCGGGTGAGTGTTTCTTCATTCAGCAGTCATCAGTGGTGCACAGGCTTGGTGCCTGACCTCAGTGGGTGCGTTAAACTGTGAGGACACTGGGAAGTAGAGCAGGCCACCTGCCCTCTGGGATGACACCACCACCATCCCTCCACTCCCCCACCCCCGTCCCCCACACACATTCTGGCAAATTGTCTAAAAGGAGAATTGCCCTTTTCCCCCAAATTTTAATGTTACTGTGGACCTAGTGGTTAGGATTGTGGAGTCTGCAGCCAGATTGCCTGGGTTCCACCCTGTGCTCTGCCACTTGTAAGTCTCTCCGTCTTTGTCTCCCTTCATTTCTTACCTATAAAACGGGTGATACAATGTATTTCATAGGGAGGTGGGGATTAAATGAGTTAGTAGCTTAACATACTTATGATAGTGCTCCACATGTGATAGGAACTATATACATACTAGCTTTAAAAAAAAACAACTTGGGACCAGCAGTTAGCCTAATGGTTATGTCACTGAACTACCATGTAGTTCACCACGGTTCGAGTCCCAGATCCCGTGACTTGAACTCACGCCAGGCATGTGTGCATGTGTGTCCAAGATCCTGAGAGGAGAATGGAGAAGAAGGGATTGCACCGTGGCCATCCCCCCTGGAGGGTGATTTCTCACTTTCTGTCTTTCTGTCTCTGTCTCTCTGGTGAGCGCACGTGGCCTATAGCAAAAAATCTCTCAAAAAAAAACCCTTATGTATTTACTTTGCCAGGCTGCATGAGGCGCTTGGAATTTAAACATGAATAAGGTGTGGTTCCTGTGTGTGAAAAGGGTAAAGGCTGAGGAAGGAGGCAGATGCACAAACAGCAGTAGCATGTAATATGTCCATAGTTGGTGTCTGAAGGAAGTGCTCTGGGACTGCAGAGGAGGGGCACCTATTTCTGCCTTGGGGAGTGTCTACCCACTCAATATATTATTTGTCCCTTTCCTCTCTCTATAGCGTCATCCCCAGAGGAGCCACACTCTGACAGGTGAGTGCAGGCCGTCTCTCATGTCCACATCCTGTCACTATGCAGCAGCGCAATGCTGCAGCTTCTGCAAGTGCAGACTCTGGCCATGCAGTTTGCGCGGTCCTGGGCTCCTGTTTAGGTGTCACCATGCCTGTTCCTCTTGGGGCAGAGGGTTGGGTTCTCCGGGCATTGCTTCCCAAGACCAGGACAGCCTCTTTTTGGGAGGTGGGGTTGTCCACTCCCTTAGACTGAAGATCTCACTGGCATTCTCAGGGATGTGAGTGCTCAGGAAGGTGGTATCCGAGGCCTCCAGGGGTCATGTCATGTCTCCCCAGTGAGGGTGCGGGGTCAGGCGCCCGGCCGCACCTGCTGAGTGTGCCCGAGTTGTGCAGATACCTGGCTGAGAGCTGGCTCACCTTCCAGATTCACCTGCAGGAGCTGCTGCAGTACAAGAGGCAGAATCCAGCTCAGGTAACTTCCCCCAGCTCATACAGCAGTTCCCTGCACCTTGGGGGAATAGAGGTGAGGGAGAGAGGCAGGAATGGTGGGAGCTCCCTGGTTGGAGACCCTAAAGGAAGAGGCCTGGCTGCCTCCTTGAGGCAACAGTCACAGCCAGTCCTGGTACGGGAGGCAGGCTGGCCTCAGGGAATAAGCTGTCGGTGTTCTGATGCTGTTTTCTGCCAAGGCAGACCAGTGTGCATTACAGGGGTTTGGCAGCATTTATTGTAAACTTCCTGAAATGGCGATCTTTGACAGTCACTTGACTGGACTGGATCCCAGCATCCCTAAAGGGCCTGTCATCCTTCCACCTCTGAGCGATGGAAGAGGGGAGCACATGCCCCGGCCCTCCTTTCTTCTCATACCCCGTGCTCTTCTCTGCAGTTCTGTGCTCGCGTCTGCTCTGGCTGTGCCATGCTGGCTGTGCTGGGCCACTATGTTCCTGGGATTATGATTTCCTACATTGTCTGTGAGTAGGGTCCAGCCCTACCCGTCCCAAAGCCCACTTTTCTTCTTCCCCCTGGACTGACCCCGAGAGAGGACTAGACCAGGTTCTCTGCTCAGTTACTGACCTGGGGAGGTTTCCAGGGCTGCTGTGGTGCTAGTAACCGTGAGCGAGTCATCTGGGGAGGAAGGCAGTGGCTGTGGAGAGGAGAGTTGGCGCAGCCTTGGGGAGAACCTCATCTTCCCTCAGCCCTTCCTCTTTAGGACCAGCTGAAGAGGGCCCTTAGGAGTTGACCTAGGCAGCTCTGAGTGCACTTTCTGACCCGCAGTGCTGAGCATCCTGCTGTGGCCCCTGGTGGTTTATCATGAGCTGATCCAGAGGATGTACACGCGCCTGGAGCCCCTGCTCATGCAGCTGGACTACAGCATGAAGGCGGGAGCTGACGCCCTGCACCACAAACACGACAAGAGGAGTAAGAGGCTACCCTAACCGAGGAGCGGGCGTGGGGGCGGGGGACGGCTGCTGGCTTGAGATGTGTCCTGAAATTTAGATCCTCCCCAGCCCCCTGGCCGTGTCTGTCCCCCACCAGTGCCCCTGCCTGGTTACTGCCCTCCTGCTCTTGCTTCTCCAGAGCGGCAGGGGGAGGAC